CAGGAAGCAGTAGAAGCAGACTTGGGAGTTTGGAATTTTCCAATATCAATACCAGATCCGAGGCAGCTCAGTCAATAACTGTGGTGCAGTGTGATCCCACACTGCCATCTACTAGCCAGGTATTCATACAGCTGCATGGAAGCCCATTGCCCTCTCTGGGATGCAAGGATGGTTAAGGCAAAGTCACCGAGTAAAACCATAAGGTCCTTGCTTTAACTGGAATTATTGAAAAAGATACAATGCTGTTTATTAAACAGCTTCTTATCTCTTTGTATTTAAGAGCATGAACTGTGTACTCATACTATTGCAAATATGGCACTCATTTTTGTTTACATAATGCTTTTGACATGTTTTTGTTTTCCCTCTTTGTTTAGGTAACAAGGATTCCACTCCTTTCACAAGGTCAACTTATGCACATTGTCCTTCTGCACTCAGAGTAAGCACAGGTAAGTGATGTAGCCTTCATCTGTCCTGGTAGCCAACAGGCTATGCACTGCATCCTGATCAGTAAAGCAAAAAACTTTAATTGTTATTGCTTAATACCTGTAACTATAGCTGAAAGTTATCAGTATCAGAATGTAAAACTAATTCCTCTCTCAAACAGGACCTGCGCACTCCGTAGATGTGTATTTGATGGATCAAGGAAAACAATCTTTTACATAAAAGAGCTTTTACAAACATGAAGGCATTGTAAGATTCCCCTGCAGACCTAAATTGATCACTTTCCTAGATTAGACATCAGGTTGCTGTGACTCGACCCAACTCCTGAGCCACATGTGTTTGGGGCACCTGTCCTTTCTTTCTCTGGATTCTTAATACAAATCTTTAGCCGCAGGCCTCGTGCTGATCAGCCTTCCATGAGGCACAGGTCCCTACAGTACAGCTGTCTTAAACCCCTGAAATTCCATCCTGTCCTTCAGGAGCTGTTCATATTTGCTCCTTTCAAGTTGTATTGCTGTGGTGACTGGAACTTTTTAATTAACCCTTTCAAGGCTTGTCCAGTTCATAAATGGTTTACACTTACAAGGAAAACTTGAAACAGCAGGTTTCTGTATTTTTTACTACACACGCCTTAGATTTTTTAGCTGACAACCCAAGCATGACAAGCAAGCAGAATATAGAGGCTTAGGACAGGAAATTTACTGTTAATATTGACAAAGCATTTGTACATTTTTCATATTTTGTGCTAGATTCATTTTGTTACTAGAAAAGAAAACAGCAAATACGTGAAATTTCTTTTTTTCTTTTTTTAGCTAAAAACGTGAACATATTTCCTGGGTCTTTCATCTCAGAAAAAGGAAAAGATGCAAGAATCAGGACATTTTGAGACATGATAGAATGCATTCCTTTTGTGCATCTTCTAGAAACTAATATGCATATGTAAAAATATTTTGACTAGCAATTTCAGATTAACAAATATTAAATGTATTTAGTCAGATTTTCATGTGTGACTAGATTTCCATGCATCACATTGCAATTAAATGTGCAACAAGGATGCTTGTGTATATAACCATCATTTTTTGTGATTAAATACAGAGCTTGGTCTATTTCTTAAGTATCTATACTGCAGTTTTAGACCCAGGTTGTGATATTCACCACCATTTAAATCAGAGTTAGAATGTTTAATGGATGATTATCCAAACACAGTTCAGAAAACAGTGTCAAGAGAATAGAAAACTGATATCACCTAACACAACTAGTCACTTAGTTTCATGCTGTGTGTGGAAATCAGACAATTGTAAGCAAAAGATACCAAATTATGTGTTTTATATCACATGAAGTAAAGCACAGATGCAGACTCCAAGAGGTGCACACCATTTAGCTGTGCAATCAATGCATATACATGCTGACTTTTATTGCTGAGAATTCTGGCCTTAAAATAAAGGAATAGGGGTTTTTTTGTGAGATATCTCAGCAAACATTCTAGTTTTGCCTTAAAACCAAAAGCACAGAACACTGGAAAAAAATAACAAATAAGAAAATAAAGGTAAATGTTGTTGAAACAAATACTGAGCAAGCAGTGCACTGTGATTCACTGTGAAAATAGATAGAACTGAAGAATATATTCCTAGAAAGCTGGGATGAAAAATACATTACGAAACAGAGAGATTACATCAAGACAGCAGAGCCTAACATGGAGTATAAAAACCTTATGAACAACTAGAAGTTACTTTCTGTAGTCTAACAGAACTTTGAAATCGTAACTGTAAACCTGGACATACCTGTATGAAAAGTAAAGCTGAGAAGCAGAAGTAAGGCTTTAATATTTAAATGAAAAGCACTTTCAAGTAAAGACCTCCTGAAGCCGTTAGTCAATAAAAAGTGAAGCTGCTGCTACACATCCCTAAAGCATGAGAAACATTTACAGTCTAGTAACTATCAGCAGGTAAGGCTTGGTTATGGCACTTTGTCATAGAACAGGATGGGCTGTTACTATAGTACATTTATGTCACACTGCTCACAGTTGCCAGTAAATGGCCATTTCTATATTGAATGCAATAAAGCCATTGAATTGGTTACCTGATGAGCAGAACCTTCTTCCTCCTTATCTTACTTCTTGACATTTTGAACCATATGCAGTTCTTTATACATTTTTTTTAATCCTCTTATACAGAAGATTCAATCAAGTACAACATAAGTAACAGTTCTGGAATTCAAATTGGATCCTACAATCACATGAAGATTGAAGACCCCAATCAACACATCAGCACTTCTCCTGTTAGTGTAGAAGCAACTTACAATTATTATGAAGGAACAGGTATATTTGGTAAGAGAAATATCTCTATATAGTCTTTATGTATTCTGCCCATATATTAATCTGGTACCACTTTCTGCCTCTGATACTTGAGAAATGCCGGTTTGGATCCTTTTCTACTACATAAGAGTGTATTAAACAAAAGGGGTTTGTGCTAATACTGTTCTGTAATACCATGTACCTCATACGTCCTTATGAGACACCAGATGCAAGTATAGATGAATATGCATCAAGAACAAGAGCAATAACAACACTGAAATTGGTAGAAGTGGTTTGTGCTCCTTAACTGACTTTTAATTTAAATTATAGAATATTCTCAGTTGGAAGGGAATCATGAAGATCATCAAGTCCAGTGCCTGACACCACACAAGGAAAGCTGAAAGTTAAGCCATATATCTAAGAGCATTGTCTATACACTTCTTGAATACTGCCAGGCTTGGGGCCACAACCACTTCATTGGGATAGAAATTGGAAGATTTTTAAATTTAATTTATTTACATTGGTCAATACTGAATTAAACTATCCCAGTGTATTCCTAAGTAAACAAATAAAGTGTCCCAGAACGTAAAACATATAGTGTAGACATCAATCAGCTACGCAGGAACTCCAGGAAGGAGCTTTTCAATTTTGCAGCTTTAAGTGACAAACTATAATAGCCTCAGATTGAAAAACAAGTCCAGCAACTGACCTTCAAATATACACATTCTAACTGGGAGTTTCTTTTCTGGCATCATCGAGTAATGCTGCCTCCATGAAACCCACTTCTGATTGTATCACTGTAATTCTGTCTCCAGATATTACCAATAAATAGTTGGAGCAGGTCAGGTGAGGAAGCAGAAGAAACACTAAACAATGCCATTTTCTTACATTCTTTTTCTTTTTGCAGACAATACTACTGTCCTGACTGAGAAACATCTGAATCTAGTGAGAGAAAAGTTGGCTAAACAATGGAAGCACTGTGCTCGTAAATTGGGCTTCTGTGATCCCGACATTGATGAAATTGATCATGACTATGAACGAGATGGACTAAAAGAAAAAGTTTACCAAATGCTGCTGAAGTGGGTAATGAAGGAAGGCTCCAAAGGTGCTACAGTTGGAAAGCTTGCGAAAGCCCTCTTTGGCTGCCAAAGACTGGATCTCCTTACTAGTTTGATGCAAATCAATGAGGAATAAGTTGACTGAGAACTGGAGGGAAATGAGGATATTTTTTCCTGAAAACCTTCCGATAAGAAGTAATAATTCTGAACAGACTTTGTGGAGCTCTCCTTTTTGCACAGACTCGTTGGAATGCATTTTTTCTGCCAAACAGTTTTCTGTGAATACCTCCAGCAAATCTAAAGGTTTATATCAAGATAATTAGTCTTTCAGAGGATGAAAGAAAGAAAATAAGCATCTTCCTTCTAATAAAACGATTGTCCAAAGATAATAACGAAATGTATTAGTAATACTGGTGTTATACAAAATTGCTAGATTCCATGCTGAAACATCTTGATACCCTTGTTCAGTTCTGGACAAAAGTGTGCCATTTCAGCAAAGCTAATGTATCAGTGATAACCTATGAAAGACTGACTCACTCCGTGAAGAACTTGGACAGAAAATAAAATAAACTCTGAAGTTTTTGCTTTATAAAAAAACACTCTTCTTGCACAGGGTAATATTGCATTAAATGTTTATGATTTTTGGTAGAAAAGATTTTACAGTATTAGTTTATCATCTGCTTTATGAAATAGTGAAAAAAGAAATTAAATCATTATTGAATCCAAAGTAAAAACTTGAGAATATGAGAGTCTTGAGAAAGGCAAAGTGCCTCATTACCACATGACAGAAGACCCATTCTCTTACTCAGGAGGCTCAGAGCATTAGTTTCTGAGTCTCTCAGGCTGCATTTATACTGGCACATTAAATATGCCTAGGAATGTTCAAGGGTGCTGAGGTTAACTGGCATGCCACAGCCTTCTGCCAGGATAGAATATTCTTTAAACCTCCAAAATACTGTGCAAGGGCTGTTTCACAGCGCTGAGGTTGTGTCAGGGAACACTAGAACAACTCCGTAGCATAGGTGATGGTATCCGAGTGCCTGGGAATGTTCATTGCCACTCTGATGTCCTAGTATTGGTGTAATCTGTGTGCAAGATCTAAGAAAGAAGGATTACTGAGCTCTACATTTTTACACCCTAAGAATAATTATGCCAACCTCTTCCTGTGAAGAATGATACCTCCTACTTCCATCAAATCTACAAGTATTTCCAGCAGATATTTTGGACCATGTCATTTTTCATGCTGTTGAAGCAGCAGTGCTTGTTAGCTCCTGGTTACTGTAAAAATAATCATTTTGGTAGAAGCAAAATTGAAATGGAATCATAGTAAGCACCAACATATTTGTCATCTTTAAAGCTACTTAGAATAGTGGAAATGGCCCCAAAAATGGAGAGCTTAGCAGAAATCAATACAAAGTGCGTGTCATCCACCCAGATACTGGAGCATTTATATATTTATTGTTAGTGTATGCTAAAATACATACTTTCCTTTACACTGAGGCTAGCTTGGAGTGTATCAGTATATAGCACAGTAATACACTTTGAATTCCTCAGGATTTGTCACAGTATCTTACTGGTTTGACTTAGCAACATGCTAAATTTTCTATGAACTCTTGAGTACAATAGAGGAATAAAGGACATAATTCTCTAGAATACTGAACGTACACTTTCAGAAATAATAGTTCACTCTTCTTAAAACAGAGATATACGTGAGATGGGGTGGAGTCTTCTCCATGTCAGTCCACAGAAAGTTACAACCACCAGCTGCTATGTTACTTAATGAAAGAGATTCCTGAACAGATCTGCAAAGTCCTTTTTTGTTCCAGTAATGCTGGTTCCACTGTATTGCTGCATCAATTCCCTACTCCCCATTTGCTTTTAATTCTCACATAACCATAGTCTTTACACAACATGCTACTTTTCCCTCGTAAGATACTTGTCTTGTTTGGAACACAGAATTAATTGTGACAATTTCATGGGCATAAACTAAATGTTTTATTTTCTCTTCATTAAAGAAAGCAAGTATGGACCTTATATTCAGCAACAAAAGCAACAAAGATGTAGAGCACAACCATAAAGCATCTCAGAACAAGACTTAGGCATAAGGCAGTCCTAGATCTTTAGGGTAGCATGTGGGAAATGGTCGTTTTAGCTTTGATGCTGCCAAGTCCAATTCTAGACTAGTGCTCATAGTTCAGGTGACACTATAGAAGGTATAGAAAACAACCACAAAACTGAAAGTTAGAGACAACCTCTTTCAGAACAATGCTTACAGAACTCAGTCACAGAAAAGAAGATTTGGCTTCCTGGGCAGAAAATATAAAGTACTGCAAGTTCTTGAGCATATTGTGGAAAACCACATAATGAGACCCAATGCCTAGAAGCTGCAGCCAGGCATACCAGAATTAGAATACATTTTTAATAATAAGGATGATTAACTACTGGAATAAACTACCTAGGGACTGTGTGGATCCCCTTGATAGCTTTTCATTAAGACTGGTCTTGTTTCTTAAGGTGGATATAGTAAAAACCAAACCTATAGGTCTCAATACAAGATTGACTAGGAGTGGTAGTGCTCAAGAATTTGGCCTCTGACTGATCAAGCCACTTTAAATAAATATAATTTTTCTCTGATAAGATTTTTCATCATTATACTGCAATAAATGAAAACCTTATTTCAGCCTTGGAGGCACATGGAAACTACAGTAAGAATTTCTGAAACATGCCCAGCCTTGTATATGGTGAGAAGGAGCTACTGGGAAAACAAGTAGAAAGGATCATCCAATACAAGCAGGGCTACATCAGAGCTAACTAGCACTTGTGAGGGCTTTCTTCCCTAGATCCTTATGCCCTCTAGGCTTTTTTTCCACCTTTCTCACCCCAGTCTTAACAGGCTACAGAAAGTGCTTCTTGCAGCATGCCAGGTTTCCCTGCTAGCATACCCATGAGCACCAGGAGTCAGCCGACTGATGCCGATTTGTTCCTCACCACAAAACGGCAGCCAGGGAAAGTGCTCTATCCTTAGTACAGCCCCTGGGGAAAAGGGAAGTTAGGATCAGAACAGCTAAGATGCAGAGTCTAGAAGCTAAGTGCTGAGGGAAGTGTTGGATATGAGTGAAATGAAGGAGACCAGAGTCCTGAATTACAGGGTTTCCCTCTCCTTTCCTACTCCTCCTCTACAGCTCTAAGTAGGTCAGTCACTTCCTTTCTCTTTAGCACAGTTTCCTCATCTCTTTGATACAGTCACTAACTTCTGCCAGAGCTAAGGTACGATCAGATAATAAGCATTAAAGCTTATAGAGCTCAGAGAGGCGCTTGATGAAAGCTGTTTGAGACAAAAATGCACACTAATCACCTTAACAAACCAGTAATACTGCTTGGATCTTGAATGATGGGTTGAAATTTCTGTGCACCCCACATGCATCTGAGGTCAAGAGAAGTAAATGCAAGACCAGAAGAGATATCTGGGTCACTGAGCTCACTAAAACGGATTCATACAACCCCTTCTGTAAACATAGTAAAAAAGCATCTTCTGAATGTTACTCTTGCCCTCTCCATGAGACAAGCTGTTTCTGCTTTTGTACCACAGTATTTTGAGCCATTTCAAGTGTTTGAATCTAAAACGCCCTGAATTTGAACAAAAAATTATACCAATATTTTGCTTAGATTTACAGGATACAGATCCTATTATTCAACTATGAAATTATGAGACCACCTTACATTGACACATCTGCATTCAGGCACTTCAGGTTCATAATGCAGTTATTAACAAACAAGTGAAAGCTATGCAGACACTACTTAAGCTGACAGTCAAATATCCTTTGCTAACATTAGAAAAGTACAGGCAAGCATAAAGGAAACAATTCTTAAATGTATGTCTGTCTCTCAGTTTACTTCATCAGTCTGAATTGTTCTGTGAGCCAAGGGTATCTACAATCTTTCACCATGAGCTGTTCCTCTTACCACAAAGCATCCTTTTCTCTGCAAAGCAAGGCTAATTGTTCTCAGCTTGGCTAGTATTCTAGCTGAATAGGCCTCCTACAAAAACACATGCTGCTACTCCCTGCACTTCACAGCTTCAAAAGTTAGTCCAGATCCACTCAGTCTTTCTTGTTTGGAAGGTCAATACCAAAACATAGTACCACCACCTTTGTTCTGAACTCGGCAATTCACCAAAGGTTACCCAAATCTTACCTTTTTGTGAACCTGGAGCAATAAGGTTTTGCCCAAAGGTGAAAACTTTGCCTAGTCTAGTGCTCAATATCCAAGAGGCACAAGAGCCCAGGTATCAAAGCAGGCATGAAAATGGCAAGATATTTCACTTCATAAAAGTAGCTAAAATAAAAGAGACAAAAATGAGCAGTCAGTGTGTACACAGACTCGGGAAACAAGTCTGCAACAAGAAGTAAAGTCTACAACAGCACATGGATCAGTGGGGACTCCAACCAGACACAGACATGACTGTAACACAGCAGGAGCTAGGGCAGGAACCAATGGCTCTCTGATGAGCTGGAATGAGGCTCCTATGCCTGGAATGAGCAGTGGGTGTGGTAGAAGACCCCATCTGAGGCTGATCATAGCCATTAAAGCCTGTTAGTGCCCTGACAAATGATTTCTTCCTCCTTGAAAGCTCCAGAGTTACAGCCCCACTAATAGTAATGCTTCTGGTGTCTTGTATGGGATCAGTGCTCCTGATAAGAGAATCCCATGTGTGAGTGAAAATAATGCCTCTGGAGACCTGGAATTAATCTTTCTGTCTGATGTTCCAGCATGTCTCAGGGAGCCCACTATGTCAATAATTGCCTAGGACTTAGCAAGATTTTCTACAACCTGAGGAAGTACAAAAGTTGTAGATAAATATTTTCTATCCAACCAGGAATCAGAATACTACTCTGTCTTCATGATTTAATAGGCCTATTGAAAGATCTCATGGTTCTGCAGTTCTGTCTCTCACAAGAAGTTTTGGGCAATACTTGTGGGCTGGGAAATGGCATTTGCATCAGACTTTTCACTGCTGTTTCATTCCATAAGGAACAAGTCTATGCAGCATCGACAGCATATCCCCACTGCAGGAACTGTGAGGAAGGATCACAGGTGACAAAGTCCCACTGAGCAGCAGTGATGCCCTCCAGTGAATTGGGTGGCTATCAAAGAAAAATCCTGACAGCAGCAGCAACCAGAAGCTGCCTTTAAATCACACAGAATCACAGAATTACCAAGTCTGGAAAAGACCTTTAAGATCATCAAGTTCAGCCTAAATGCAAGTTTCTGTCTTCAGAGATGACCATACAGAAGAGATGGGGCAACACCAAGGGCACCAAAAATGACAGGGCAGTTCAGGGGGAAAGGAAAATCTGTTTGGGGACACATCACTAGCAGAGCAGTGCTACCTCTTTTAAGCATTATTTTTTATTTTCTTTTTCTTTTGCATGCAATGGCCAGATACATTTAGGTCCCAGAACCAAAGCCATCAGCAATAATCAGACGAATAAAAGCATCTTAAAGGAGCAGACAGAAGAATTAGTGCCCCAGTTGTTCTCATCTCTTTCCCAGGCTGTATAAGAGTTTGCCTCTGCCTGGCTTGCTCAATGCATTTTCTCTCCTTTCAGCCTGTAATTTACATTAAGACCATTTTTTAGGAAATAGTTCAGCTGAAACATTTAATTCTCCCAGCTGCCCATTATGTCCAAATCTGCTTTACTAACCAGACTGGATGTTCTGGTGAACTGAGTAGAGACTGAACACAGTTTGAACCTGTGGGTTTACACTCGTTTTGTCTCCTGATCATCTGCCACCTGCCTCCAGCCTTGACAGCATCCTGCTTCCACGGCTGCATTTGCAGCCATTGCCCTGCAGGCCCAGACAGCAACTCTCTCCTTCAGAGTAGTTCCATCCTATCACCCCTCATGGCACCATTCTTTTTCCCCACACACAGAGGAAAGGGTTTTTGCCAGGGCTGTTTCTGCCCTAACTGCCATGTCAGTTTTCTCTCCCCAGGCCAAAGAAGGCAGGACATTGTCTATGAGAGTGATTTCATGGTCCAGTCCCTTGGGAGAGGAACAGCCACTTTTGAGGCCTGCTATGCTGCAGAGCCATGACCGAGGGCCTGGAGATGACACATGGTGCAACACCTCGACTGAGACAGCCTTCTCTGCAAGGGGACCACTCAGCTTTCATTACCCTGGCAGTGGAGTCAGGCCATCTGGAACTACCCCCTCCTTTTCTCAAGTTGTACATTTACCTCTTCATCTCCCTTTCCTCTCATCTGGTGAGGGCTTCCGGTTTTACCTAATTACCTCTTTGCTCCCCCTACACTGTGTGATGAACTCTTTCTACCTCATCCCTCAATTTTTCAGTACAGGCTCTAGGTTGTTGCTACACCTCCTTCAGCCATAGTAGGTACAGGACATATAGAAAGATCAGACAGATTGGCATTCCAACAGGACTGAAACTGGATACAAAATCTTAGGGTCTTTCTCTCTGAAGATTATAGTGAAACATTAAAATGCGAGCTCCCTTTAATTCATGGTAATTGCAGAACTCAGAAAAAAAAAAGTACGTTTGTGTAGCAAAAGTCCAAGCTACCTCTGTTTCCCTAAACACAGAAGTCAGCGGTCACCTCCAGTCATTTTCCACCAAGAAGAAACGCGGACTGTGAATCTCACCATAAGGGTGAGCCTCTGACAGTGGCCCAAGAGCCAAGGAAACCGTTGGGGCTTGTAGGTGTCACTGGGCAGGAGCGAGGGCAGCTTGTCCAGGTGATGGATTGATTGTAATTAGCCATACCAAAGACCTTAATCTCAAGCGGTTTGATCTGCTCAAGGGGATAAACTGAACCAGGACGCTCACACGGTCGAGTTAATCTCCTTACATGCCAGTGCCATGCAAACGAGTGGCAATGGAGCAGGAAGGCTGGTAACCACCCACCCTCAGGCAGCCACTCAGCTCTCCCTGGGCTGCAGCCAACAGGCAACACCGACCTATCTTGCGGAAATCCCTCTCATCCAGGCACGGGGCAGGAAATCAACTTTCCTGGGTCTGTTTCAAGGCTGCTACCAGATCTACAACCTCCTGCCGTTTTCCTCGCTGCCTTCCCAGCGCCCTGGCCGCTCATTCTCCTCTACACTTGAAAAGCAGGCCCCGGGGAGGGGCAGCAGCGGCCTACTGGGTGCTTTCTTTATCAGCAGCCCGTGAGGGGACGCGGAGGGAGGCCCGGGGCGGCCCAGGCCCGGCCCAGCAGCGCTCAGCCCGGCCCCCAGCCCGGCGTTCCCTGCCGTCACGTCCCCAGCCCA